ACATTAAACCTGTGATGTTATAAATGAAGTACTGACATTAAACCTGTAATAAAAAAAAAATGCGTTAACGCGTGATAAAATAATTGTCGGCGTTAATTAATTAATGTGTTAACGTGATAATAGCGCGTTAACTTGCCCAGCACTAAATAATAGTTATTTAGTTGTTCATAATTAACTAATATCAAGTTCTATATACGCTTATTTGAACTACTGTTTTCAATAAAGTGGAAGAAGAAAAGATGGACGGTGCATTAATATGAAATTGGAAGCATTTTGATTGTCTCTAAACAGCTCTCAACATGGCGACAGAGAGCCGGCGGCTCATAGCTAACGGTGCTAACGGTGCTAACAATGCTAACGGTGTTGGCCTGAGAGGGAACAGGAGGGTGGGGTGTTTTACTCATCCTTGGTGACACACAGAGATCTTTCAGACCTTCTCCAGGTGAACTAAACTCACCTTACTGACGGAGCTGATCTTCTCCTCAGGAAGAACACCTTCAGAGTCCTGAACCACCTGAAGAAGAAGGACGTCACATGAACTCATTGCTGAGGACAGTTTGAGCTCTTTAAATTCTGACTGCCTGTGAACTCACCACAGCTCTGCACTGGGAGAAGAGACGCTTGTAGAATCCCACAAACACCTGGAAGTCTACAGCTGAGAAACAAAGCACATGAAACAGGTAATTATAGGACATTATCTTATATTATTATTCCTCACATGAAACAGTGAGATATGTAAACATCAGATATGATTGACAGGATGTGTATTCTTACTGGTGGAGAAGCTCTGGTCTGCAGCTCTGAGCTCATCAGTAATGAAGCGCTCCAACATGTTCCTGCAGAACAAGTATTCACTCATTTATATAATGATATATAATATATATAATATATAAAATAATACACAATATCTAATATATATAATGTATAATACATATAATAATAAAATAATAATGACTCGTATGTCATCGTTGCATCTCATGAGCAGAGAATAAACTATCAGGGCTGAAGGAAACATTTTAATTCTAAACTTCTTCATGACTTGTGTTTAAAGTTTGTTCACAGAATCAGATAAACATCAGGATGATATAATATAATATAATTATAGTATGTTATGTTATGTTATATTATGTTATGTTATATTATATTGTAGTACAGTATATTATATTATATTATACTCTGGACTCGTGTGATTCAAACAATTCCAATAAAAAGATTATTCACAACATGTTTTTAATCTAAATAAACATTAAATTCATTGCTCCGCTGAGGCAGCAACGATGAGTGTGTGTGAGTGTGTGTGCGTGTAGATGTGTGTGAGTCCTACTTGTTCAGACTGGGGAACAGATCTGTGAAGACGTTCTTCAGATCTTCTCTTCTAACTGAGCCGCTCCCGTCCTGAAGGATGACAACACAGGCTGTGATTGGCCAGAAACCGATGACATCACACACACACACACACACACACACACACACACACACAGGTGTGTGACGCTCACCTTGTCGTAGAAGTCAAACTTCTTCCGAGCGACTGAGATCTGTTTCTGAGATGGTTCCTACGAGAAGACATCAAAACACGATTGAAGAAGAAAACATGACTAGTAGTGGTAGCAGTAGTATCAGTAGTATTTTTATTATACTATATTGATCCCGGAAGGGGAAATTTGTCTCTGCATTTGACCCATCCCTGTATATAGGGAGCAGTGGGCTCCCTGCTGAACCCTGGTTCAGTGTCTTGCTCAGGGAGACTTCAACATGTGACACGTCCCAGTCAAGGATCGAACCG